ATGTTATCAGAATCAAACCTTATATCAAAAAAAGCTTATAAAAAACTGGATCCAAACTTGCACAAATATACAGAGTGATGAATTTGAAATTTTTGAGAAAAAGTACAATTCGCGTTTTTGGTCACCCTGTATGAGCAAAAATTAAAATTCGAAAAAGTAACAAATAAGATAAAAGCTGACCTGTGTAAGTTTTTTTTAATACAAAATTCAGCACTCCAAATTTCAAAATGGCGGACTGAGGGGTTGCCGAAGTGGGGGTTTTTCTAGACAAGACACCTTATGTCTCAGTAGCTAATTACCAAAACCCCATAGTATGTTATATCAATCTTCTTCTTTTGAATTGGTTTATCCAAATATGCAATAAAATTTGAGGCATTCCATTTAAAAAATCAACTTTGATATGTATGTCAAAATTGGGACACCCTGTATAATTGCTAATATTTTAGAAATGTGCCCTCAAATGTCATGTATAACACGCCATAATTAGTTTTGTATATCTATATATATATATATATATATATATACCTATATGCTAAGATTCATCAAAATCGGTTCAGCCGTTTTGGCATGAAAATAGAACATACAAACATACATACCATTACATACACACAAACATACATGCACACTTTCACATTTATAATATTAGTAGGAAAGCACTAATCTATTATACACGAAAACGCAGTCTAAAAATACTCTATAATCGATATTATTCACCCTCCAAATACATGAAATATTCGGTCAACGAAAGGCTAAAGGTGGGGTCAGAATGAAGTGTATCCTATAGTTACCTAAACTGGTGCCGACCTTCTCGAGCTGTGCACTACCGCAGTAGGCGTCATTCTAGGGCGATAATGAGGAAATTTCGTGCTACTACTGTTACTACGTTTCCGTTTCCGAAGGCAAAAAGTATATTGAATATGCATATACATATTATGTATATCTATGTTTACTTTAGAACGGTAAGACGTCAAGCAATAATAATTGTGCGTTGTACGATATGCGAGATTATTTGCCATTATTTACCTTAGATTTTCTTAGTGGCATTCCCAAAGCACCTGCTTTGATTTAGTTCACGTGTAGCCTGAACGACGACCAATTTAGATGTGTATTATCGGTTGTTTGTTAGGTAGGATACTCATGAGTACAGCAATGTTGCCGAACCTACCGATTTTTTGGTATTTATTCCGGAATGGTACCTTATTTACGAAAATACCGAAAACGTCCATATTTTTCACGATTTTTACGATAGTTTAGACATTTCCAGATTTTTTACCGAAAAGATGCTGGAACCATAAAATGAAGGTAAAGAATGGCGTCAAGTAAGGTGACTCTGCACTTCCCACGCTACGCTGTCATCAGTTCGTAAAGGATTAAATCTGGCACAAGTTAGCCCTTCTGAAAACAATTGCTGCAGGTACACATGATCGTTGCGATTATCAAACCCGCGTGAATAACGATATTGGCCTTCATCATTAACAGTGCGCGCGGCTCACAGTAGTGTGGAAGCGATTGCCGCCTGTGGCGTACGACCACCGACGATGACGCTTGTCCATCGGGGGACGACATATCGATATCCGACTGTAGGAGATATTTCTGTTTTAAGGGTAAATGTACGAGGACACGTATGATGAGTACAATATGCCTAATATGTGCGTCGGGTTGGACGCGTATAAATATACCAACGTCAAAAAATGAGATATATCCTCCCCCATTCCCTGCAACCACTCCTAATTCTTGAACCCCAACAAAAATTCAGAAAATGATCATGATTCTCCGAAACGTAAAAAACGAGGCTTGAGCGATTTTTTTTCGTTTTTGGCCTTTTTCTCCGCCGCCACTGGATCGATCAAAAACTACAGATCTTTTACACCCTTGATATTGTAGTAGCAATATGTAAAACTTTCACCAGAGTCCGAGCAGTACTTCTCAAGTTATAGGCGGTTATAAGATCAGCGGACAGACCGACAGACAAACAGACAGCCCGACGGCATTGAGTGAGGTGGTGTTTCATGATTTACATGTCATATAACATCTAAAAAACATCATTTTAGAAAATTATCGCGATTCCAATTCTTCCCTGCCAGTAGGCGTGGGAACTAAAAATGAATTACTTTAGTAGTTTTATGTCCCATACCAATCATACGAGTACATATGCGTACAGCTAGATACTCGGGTACACGAGGAACGTATATAGATTTGGGTTGCCTATAATGATGTACGAACATCCGTTACTCCGTTATCCGCTTTCCATGTATTGCTTTTTGTGCTTACAACAGGTACAGTCTGGTCGGTAACCGGCATTACCGCATAATTGGAAGAGCAATAGCATAACCAAAGATTGTCTGCTTTTAGTTAAATATTAAATACTGCCAGGTGACGAAGGTTCAGGTTCAGGGATAAAATAGAAAATTATACACAATTTTATAATCAAGAATGGAGAAACAAGTTTCCAGGATGGTTGCAATGGAGTAAAGGATGCTCATTGTATAAGTTGTAATAAAGAAGTCAATATTTTTCTTGTACAAGATAGCCTCAAAGAACCTGTGTATGTGCACGCGCGCAAAACAAAAATATACTTATTTTTTCATAAACGGCGCTACGTGATGCAAAAGTCATTGAACCACCGCATATTGCATCGACCCTGATTTTTTTATATCTGAGAATGAAGTTCTAAATTCATTTTTTACAAATACTAAGGGGAGTTTATCTAAACACACCAAATCTTTAATATCACATATCTAGGGACTAATAAACCGATTTAGTTAATTAACATTTTGCACAATAACAAAGTTACTTAGGAGTAACGTAAAACTAGCCGTGTGTCTAAAAATCTATGCTGAACTAGACTTTTTTTACTATTTGTTTTTCATTAAGAGCAATACCTTTTCAATTAAAAATTATTAATTATCACAAAATCTCCTTTTAAGCAGCTAGTGTGACAAAAAAAATAATAATTTCAAATGTAATTAATTTGGTTTTATCAAAATTTCACAAAATAATGCTTCAAATTCAACTTAAGATGCTTTGGCAGCTCAAAATTCCAGGATCGGATTTCTTTCCTTGATTTTGCGGAAGTTTCTAATGATTTAATTCTACCAACTGACGTTATACAGCTACATGGGTCCTGCTTTGCAGGAATACGGCATTTCGTATACAAATGCACTGAATTTGATTTTTCGGACCAATTCAAGATTACGACAAAAATTTAGAAAAAAAAACAATGTACAGATCGGGTATTACGTATCTTGAAAAGTGACATTATGTCAATTTTTTGTGACATTATGTAGGTTTTTCTTCAAGATGTTACCTTAACACTAGCTGAGGGAACTCGTTTTGTAGTCGTACGTGTTGGCTAAACGTCATGATGCTTCAGTTATCAATGTTTTGCTCTGACGTGATGTAAAATCTGCTTCAGAGATGGCATTACTGGAGGTCTAAGCTGTAAGTTGTATACTATAGCTAGAAGGAAACGGCAGTGCATAGGTGCATAGTGAAGGTTTGTGCGCTAATAGTTTGTGCTGATGATAATTCCATTGGTTTCTTGTCTCAAATACACTTGCTTGAGATTCAAAGCTAGAAATTAGCTGCTCATATACTTTTTCTTATTCATTCTGGATGTTACATTATGCAAATTTGCTGAATTTCAGAAATGAGAGTATTAAGAAAAGAAAATCCCTGGTTGGTGAAGGAAAATGTGAAAAAATATGCTACAGACAGGAATATTAATGAAAATGAAAAGGTTATTACATTATTTTTTATTTCCAACGTGAGGCGTTGCAAAAATGTTTGATGTGTGATGCGTCATTCCTAACCTTTCTGTGATATGGCTTAATTTCACACAACGCGTAGCGCTCCTCAAAGTTTTTGTAAACACAAAAAATGGGAAAATCGTAGTTCTCTGAACATAACCTGTCTTCAGAAAAGACAACATATAAATAATCCGTCGGGCACAGCTAATAGATATACTTCATTGGCAGCATATTCAGTAATAATTTTCTCACACAGCAAACATCACTGATTTTATACACATGCAGACCAATACACAAGCATCCAGATTTTGCTATTCAACCAGCTTTCTTTCTTTCACATCACAGGGATAAACACTACAGACTACTCGGCTCCACAAAACATATACTTGCTTTCTGCAACCAACAATGCGTGTAATTGAGTCATTCATCCATAGACGGTACGCTCACAGCGATTATAGTGAGTAAACGTGGAATGAACTATTTGCACCCTAAAACTTACCAAATCTGCAAGATGGCATTTTAAGCATCCCACAAACCGGCGCGAAATATTCGCTTTGGCTGCGAAAATTTCGCGGCGATGAATTCGCGATCAGATTAAAACGCGGCGGTTTACGGACAGGCTCAGACTTGTGCGAAGCGAATGCGATTGTTCCAGCGTTTTTATCGCGGCGTATTTCAGTTCGCCTTTGACCGCGTTTTTGACGCCGTTCTTCAAAAATTCGCAATGGCAAAAACGGAATTATTGATAGAAATAGTGAAAAAGCATCCTTGTTTGTATGATTTGTCGAAGGATGAATACAGGAATGTGAGAAAGAAAGACAAGATTTGGATGGAAATAGGAAAAGAATTAAATACAAATGGTATGTACCTAATATTTTTTATTAACTTGTTAAATAATTTACAGTCTACACAAATGTGAAAACGAACATTCTATATATTGGGCATAGGCATATCAGAATTAAAATAATTTACGAATTTGTCACGAGTAGAAAATGCTAGCCTTGCTGCCCGCCGAGGATCATTTGCTATATCAGTAAAAGCTCCAAGCACGGGTTCTGGGGGATCTAAGAATTGAAAATATTGGTCATCGCCACTTTTACTTCGTAAAAAATTGTGTAAAACACATGCCGTACGTACAATTAGAATAGTAGTATCTACTTTAGTTTCTAATGACCTGTAAAATATTCGCAATTTTTGAGACAAAATACCAAACGCATTTTCCACGACCCTTCTAGCTCGACAAAGTCTTACATTGTATTTCTCTTTTCTGACGTCTGTTAAAGTCTGCTTATAAGGAAATGGTCTCATAAGGTATGGTTTTAAAGCAAATGCTTCATCACCAATTAAGACGTACGAGCAGATTTCATTTTGCCCAGGGAGAAATCTAGGTGCATGGACACTCATTAAAATTTGTTCAAATCGTTTTCCCATGTTTGAGGTTTCGAAAATACCCCAATCACTATTTTTTCCGAAACCACCAATATCAACACATATAAATTTATAGTCCGGGCCAACAATGACCATAAGTACTATTGAATATTTATGTAAGTAGCACCAGTAATTGGAGCCACTGTCGTTAGGTCTCTTGATTGTTACATGTTTACCGTCCACGCTGCCAATGCAATTGGGAAATCCCCATCTATTTTCAAATTCTTCAGCACATTTTTTCCATATATTCTCTGTTGGTTCTGGTAAATATATATGCTCCATATGTCTGCATATCGCTTCACAGACTTCGGTTACGATTGCACTCACTGTTGTAAAGCCAACTCGAAAGCTATGCCCAATGGTATAGAAAGTGTCACCAGTGGCAAGGAATCTATAAAAAAAATCGTTTTTAGGTGATGAAGTAAAAAAAGGTGGAAGAATATCAGAGACACATTTGCAAAATATATAAAATCTACCAAACCAAAGACCGGCCAAGCAGTGGGCAACATAAAAAAATGGCAGTGGGCTGACTACATGGAATTTTTCCGTCCTTTTTTGGCATTTGCTAAAACGTCGTCTAATGTGAAAGATATTGACGTGATATATTATGAGACTGTCGAATTTAACTCAAATATATATCAGGAAAGGGCTGCAAATATAGAAACCGAAAATTTGGAAGACCGCGGCCATGGAGAAGATGAAAATGCTGATGTAGATGCAGAAGATGCACAGAACGCCTCGGCAACACAGACAGCACCACCTTCATTGAACACTACAGCAGTGAATACTCCAGGGCACACCCTTCCGCAGACTGCAGCTACACCAAAATATAAAACGAGCAGAAAACGCTATGAACCACCATCTTCGTCTGTACAACAGCTCATTAATTATTTTGAAGGTAAAAAACCTAAAAAAGAGGACGAGGCCATTGATTCACTTTTCTTGGCACATGCACATACTGTGAAAACACTTCCCTTAAAGCGTCAAGCCCGAATAAAACTAAAAATAGCCGAATTAATAGCGCACGAAGAATTTGAACATACATATTGAAGAAATATCTTCAGCGTCTACCCAGAATTCTGCAAGTATGTATGATAGTAGTATGTCGTCCTTCCCAAGCGGCACTGGGTTTACTCCAATAATATACCCAACAGAGGAGGTAAATTCTGCCTCAAATTATTTAGCAACATTTAATCCTAATGGCAACATGTAGTCCAATTATTACAATAAAATATTTATTTCGCGATCCCTGAAGTTTTTGTATTCGATAAGCCTACTAATTTTAATACATATAATTTTTTTACCTGAGTGTAATAGCAAGTCGTTCTTCTGGCGAAATAGCTTCACGATAATTTGTGTCAGATTTTCGTATTTCATCTTTCACCAAGTTCAATATTTCATCGAAACACTCTGGAGTCATTCTAAAATATACGTAAAAGCGCTGTTCATCCAGCCGAAGTTGTGGCATCAAGGTATGGTATTCCCCAAATTTATTTCGTTCCAAGTTAATATCATGTACCCACTTCCTTGGTTTCCTAAACAAAATTGAAAATATTTGTTTTATGTACTTCGTTAAACTTAATACATACCCAACTATCAAATGGCGTTAAATAAACATAACTTACCGTGCATTTTGTTCCTCTTCTAAAGCAAGAAATAGAAGTGCCTCCTCTTCTTCTGAAGACGAGCTCATTGCAAAAGGCAAAAATAAAATGTACGCAACCTGTCGAAACCTTCACGTTCGCGGAGCGAATAAGACGCTTTGGTATGAATAAACAGGCGAAACAGATTGCGAATTTCGCTCTGAATTTCGTTGCGAATACTTCGCCGCGATTATTTCGCGCCGGTTTGTGGGATGCTTTATTGTTTTTTTTTTGACATTTTGTAGGTTTTTTACATAATAGCCGTGTCGGCATTAGTTAGTTAGTCTAGTGCTCTCTTCACAGCCCTACGTTAGTTAAGTAATCCCCACATGGTACATCTAACAACTAAATGTCTGGTCCTGTATACTACATTTTTCTGGGTCATTAATTTAATGTCTAGTTGAGTGGTACAATTTAGTGCATTTGCATATTAAATTCCTTTTTCTCTTTTAGTCAGAACTCATGGTGTTAAATATCAGTTGGTAGAATTAAATCATTAAGAAGTTTACCCATCAATTTCGCCTTTTATTTATATCGCATATTTATCTTTTTCCTACGAAATGATAATAAACTCAGAGTATAACTCAAAGGGCCTTGCACACAATAAAATCGATAGGCATAAAAAAACCGAATCCAGTCCTGGAATTTTGAGTTTACAAAAGTTCTTCAGTTCAATTTTAAGCATTATTTTGTAAAATGTTGATGAAACCAAGTCAGTAGCGCTTAAGATTTTGCGTTGTGTCACATAAACTGACAAAAATAACATATTTGAATAAATAAAAACGTTAAACTAAAAAACCAAAAGAGGCACAGTCAATCTATTTTGCTAATTAATTAACAACATTTATGGACTTTTTTGTACATAGACAAACATTTCATTGTCTGGCTTAAGAAATGGTGATTTTGATAAAATACAATAAAGTTGAAAAATCGAGTCCGGTCCTGAATTTGAAAATCATCCGTAAAGTTTGACCTAGGTAACTTTATTATCGTGCAAAATCTCAACGAAATCGATTTAATAGTACCAAAGGTATGTGATATTAAAATTTTGCCGTGTTTAGGTAAATATCCATAAAAATTTGAATTATTACTTTTTTATTTTCAGATATGGAAAGGTAGTGATCCACCATTTCTCTATGACCGTGTAAAAACACCCTGGATGCTGTGATCTCTAATAGCTGACTCTCCCACATCAAGAATAGCGGGGTCCCGCCCAACTGTAACGAATTCCAAATGATGATCAGAAAAATTTGAAGTACTATTTACAAAAGAAACATAAATGCCTGCATTAAATAATATGAATTGTCACGTATTGACCATGGGCGCCCGCAGAGATTTTTTCTGTCAGAGAGGGTGGGTCATCAGCAAGACATAACTTGCTGTAAAAGTGTACCTACCCCCGACACTTTTTGAAGAGCAAGGGATAACAAAGTTCTTCGGGGTGGGGGGCAGAGAGCACTTGCGCTGTCTACAACACGTAAATCCATGTAGGGTCATAGTAGGTAACGCTACTTGATTTTGGAAAATCATCTAAATGGCAGTGGTTATATCAGTAAAAATTAAAACAGCTTTCAGATCGCCCCAAAGTTTGTTATTGAATGCTTTACAACTTCTGAACATTTTTAAGGGCAATCAAATTTCTTTTTGCAGAGGTTACATTATTTACAAATTTCCAAAGTTTGCTTCTAGAGCATTATGGAGCTCGAACATTTTGTTTTGTAGCATTGACTCATGGAAAATGTGAAAAAAGGCATAGATGAACGCTTGGGGGTTACGGAGCCAATCTACTTGCCACTATTTCTTTCCGATTTTTTTTATTAAATCATGCAAAGCAGAAGACGGTATTAGTATTTCATAGTCCTAAGATATTTTAATTACTGTCAATTTCGAAAAGCTTCTTTCAGCTGTTGCAGTTGTAATCTAGATTCTAGAGGATTAAAAACAGGAAGCACCTAGCCGTACAATGTAAGGCTTAGCGCTTGGGAAATATTAATTAGACGCACCTTCAAGTTCCCGTTAATTTAAATTTAACAATTTTAACAATTCACCTAAAACTTATTTAGAATATCCATATTTATTTTGACAATATATCAATACATGAGATCGAATCTCCAATCTGCTTACTATTATCGAATGGCTTTTACCAAATATTTAGGAGGTTACAAAGATCCATAAAAAACCATTATTTATCCAGTACTTATTTGTCTGCGACAGTGTTTGTCTCTTTATCTGACCACATTTTAGTTTATCGCTGATATGCGGTAAAAACGAGGTGACATTTTTGTTGTGACTATCATTCCACCTTATTTCCTATTGTGTATTGCAGTACCTTTATCTCTAGCGATTGCACGTTGAAAAAATATTTATTTAACATATACAAATCAACGAATTCAGCGTGGGTGGAAAAAGCCACAACAGAATTTGTTTGTCAAGGGCCCACTGACGCAGATGTCGGAGCAGAAAACCATCGAAAAACTAATGTTGATTATAGACGACCAGGCGAGGCAGATCCGAGACCTAATGGTGACAGCCTGACCGCCCAGGTAACAGTATTAGTAAATTCAAAAGAATCCCCTAAAGAACCGACAAACACAATAAAAAGACCACTGAGAAGTGTTACTGATGATCATTTCACATCCACAGACGCAGACGTGTAGACCGACGGTTTTGTAAAAGCAAAATCAAGAAGGAGGAAAGGCGACAAGGCAGATCGACCAACTCAAGACTTCCTTCCACTTCCGAATACAGGATCAATTCCGTTACACACCTCCCCCACTTCATCAAATCGAAACACTTTTAATGCCTCTACTACTCGTATGAAATCATTGCCATCGGTTAGCGCAGGGAGCAAGCACATTATCTAACTCTCTGTCTCGGCCGATGTTACTTCTCCTCCGTCATCTCGCCCAACCGCCGTGACATCAACACAACCTTCACGTCAAGGGCGCGTAACCCCGATCGTCTTACGTGACGGAGCGAGGTGGCGTACATTAAATTTAAAATTCATTTCCCTAGGTATTAAAATAGAATGCGCGATTGCCGTCGATGCGGGACTAAGGATTATTCCTAAATCCGAGGACGACTACCGTAAGATCGTTCGTCTGTTCCGAGAGGAAGAAGTGCCCCATCCCACTTTTCCTCTCCCTTCGGAACGGAAAATCCATGCAGTAGTTCGAGGAGTTCCCGTTAATTTTTCGGATGCTGAGATTAAGGAAGAACTTGAGCAGAGGGGATATAGCCCTCTCCACATCATTCGATTGAAGCGCAGCGGCGGCGCGCTCATGCCTTTGCTGGTCGTGATCCTGCCCAAGACTGAAAAGTCTCAGTATTCAATGAACACGAACTGCTGGGACTAGCCACTCGAGTTGAGGTTCAGAAGAACTCCAGACTCATTGGGCAGTGTCACCGCTGCCAAAAGCATGGGCATGCGCAGTCATATTGCACTGCATCGACCAAATGCTTAAAATGTGCAAAGGGCCACATGACGCATTTGTGCCCCCTCACAGGAGAGAAAGAACGCAAGTGCGCGAACTGTGGAGAGGGGCATCCCGCAAATAGCCGGACTTGCAAGTTTACTCCAAGGAAGAACTTGCAAGTTATAGCGCAAATGCGCAATCTGTCATACTCGGACACAGCTAGGGACACAACCTTGCCTGCCTCCTCTGCCCATCCTCCCTTGAGCACGCAAAATGTGGACCTGGCAACCGCGCTCAGGTTCTTACAACAAATAAAAAGTCCCTTGATTTGTGCTACCCAAGCGTTGCAGGCGATTGTTTGGGCATAAGGGATATTAAAAAAAAACTGGAATTTCATCAGGCTCTTTTAGAGGAATATATAGATGTGGTCTTCCTGCAGAAAGCGTTGCTTAATCCGGGATACCGTTTAGCTCTCCCGAATTATTATGTTATACGAGGTGACTGATTTAATGGTCGAGGTGGCGGTTTAGCAGTGTTGATTAAACGCGGTATAGACTATTCTAGAAGCACCAATGCGTAGATGCATAGCATCGAAGCAGCTTCTGTGATGGTCAATATGGTGGAAGGTGTCTCGTTGAAAATCACATCGGTGTATGTCAGGTGTGGTGTCAGGCTACAAGAGGCGGATCTGGAAGTCTTTTTGGACTACTCGGGTCCACTTATTGTTTCCTCTTCCTTCTGTTTTTCTTTGCGCTTTTATCTTTTTTTCTTTTCTTTCCCTTTCTCTTTTTCCTTGACATTGTTTGGTTTCTGGGCAACCAGGACTGACAGATTCGACTAACGTACATTATACAACGACTAATGGGCAAAGGTCCTACACACCGCCCAGACAAACAAATGACGAATAGCAGGATTTGTTTGTCTACTAATTCTCGTAGTCTGTAGTGAGGATCAAGGTGCACTTGACATAAGTCAACTTTTTGATAGTTTTTACACCAAATTTATGTATTTAATATTATTTTTAAGTACTTCTTGAACAATTTGCATAGAGCGGCTCAGGCCTTGTGAAGTTTGATGTTTCCAATACTAAGTAGTATTATTATGTTGATATAACGCTGTAAATGCTGGGCATTGGTCGACAAATGAGTCAAAAGTATGTACTAAAACTATGCAATTTTGGCGACAAATACAATGTAAACATATAGGCTTAGCTCTAACCTATTCGAATTCGTTGGTACAAATGGAAAGAATTGAAGAAAATAACTAGTTATATAACAATTTAATTAGTCAATTACTCAGCGGATGCCTATTTTTTGGCAACCTTCTTCTTAAAAAGTGTACAAGGTAGTCATGATGCTTGTTGAGGAGTCAACGACATCGCTGGAAGGTATTATCTAATAGAAAAAGTGGCAAAATCTTGAAGAAAAATACAACAGTGAAAGTGTCCAGTATCGGCCGATAAAAAATGACGCCGCGGTCAAATTTAAAACAAATCTAATTCAGCTAGACCACTGGAACTAATAAATTGCGATAACACTGATTATGACTATTGATGGATAGCATAGTTAGTCGACTATTTTAACTGATTTATTAATCAGCATTTCATAGATATCTAGTTATATAGTAAAAATTATGATTTATTAATGGTACAAATTTAGTAAGAATTGACTATACAGCCTCAATACCACTGTATGCTCATATGTCACAGCATCAGACTATTTATTGACCTAATGCAAATGTTAGACCATATTGCGTTTTGCGCTCCTCGAATTGAGTTACGTTCCGTTCGTTTTTCACATGAAGAACCTCGGGAAGTTTTACGGCCTGCTTTTGCTACTGTCAAATTTATGACTCTCAACGGTCGCTGCTCGGTTGCTCTGCTGCATATTATGGAATATCATACACTAACTCCATTTATCTTCGTAGTAGTTCTTTTTTGTTATTCAGGGTTTCAAATTCGACCCTCACCACTGGGATCTCGGAAACAACTGAAAAAGATACGAATCCGCTTAAATGGGGGCAATGTTGCGTATTTAGGTAATCAACAAAATGCCGTTTAGAAAGTTTCAAGATTCAAAGTACTTCCGGAGAGAGGCGGAAAAACCAATTCTTCAAAAATTCGTTTTAAGTTTATCATGACTATACTTGTAGTGGATTTTCAAAATTAATTACACATTAACATTGCCACTTTTTCTCCTCTACAAATGGTTCAATTAGAATTTCAATATGACGTTTCGTCTCTTGTCCTCCAGCATCATTTCAATTCTGATTCCGAAAATGCATAATACGTCAAACATTGGCATTATCAAACCTTAGTTATTTAAAAAAGGTAGGCCTAGGCAGGCCTTGAAATTATCAGATAGTCACTTTTTTCCCATATCAGATTTATTTCAAAATCACTTTTATTTTTTTCCGACTTTATTTGAGATGCATGCAGATGTAAATTGCATGTCAACTTTGCTACCTTTTCTCCTCTACAAGATGGCATAATTAGAATTTCATGATGTCGTTTCGTCTCTTGTCCTTCAGCATCAAACTTATTTTTTCTTATGGACGCCATATTAGAATTTTTGTGCAGATGAATAAAGTTTTTAATTTAAAGAAATGTATAAAGTTACACGTTGAAATTACAAAACCCTAGTTATTCCAGAAAAACACAAGTTTCTGGTTAGGCCTTAAAATTATCAGGTATCATTTGTTTCGTATACCAGATCAGATCTCGAATCAAAGGTGGCAACAGAGTTTGGATGACTGAGAAGAGAAATAAATCAAGCAGTGAACAATCTACAGAGAAGAGCCAGGCTTTGTCTACCAAATAACGGACAACATTTTGAACATCTGCTATGGCTCACCTCAACTTATTTGTTATTATTACCATCAATAAAATTTGCATTTTATGTTCAGAGGCTTGACTCTAAATGAGTTTGGACCGTTGAAATTGATTTCGATGGCGCCTTGTGACGATATACTTGATTAGCTATCATAATTTTGACACTGCCATGATAATGTGAATATAGAAGACCAATATAATCAGATGTCAAAATTATCATAGCGAATCAAGTATATCGTCACAAGGCGCCATCGAAATCAATTTCAACCGTCGAAACTCATTTAGAATCAAGCCCCAGATTTGACCATACCTTTTGATTTCCTTATATTTTTCAACCAACAACAAATAATTTATAGACAACTAAGCAAATACATCGCTGAATTTAGGACTGAAAAGTCAAAATTCCAATATAGTGTTGATATGAAAAAACAAAGTTGATGATGGAAGTCGAAAGAAGAAATTTCGAACTGAAAATTTGAGTACGCCATGAGAGAAGATTAAGTAACAATGATAACATGTAATTTATCTCAAAATCTCATTTCAAATAAGGTCAGAAAAAAATAAAAGTGATTTTAGGAAAAATTAGGTACTCAAAACAAATGACTATCTAGCAAATTATGCTATTCTGAAATGAGGTATCATGTTTTTTGGATATAACATGATATCTACATCACTCATTTCCGTCGATCTGACCGCTCGTGTATCTATCAGTCCGCTGATCCTTGACCCTCTATAACTTGAAGTACCGCTCGGATTTTGATAAACTTTTCACACAGGGTTAGTATCATGCAGCTACTACGGCCCAATGGCGGCCAAAAACGTAAAAAAAAATAATCGATTAAACTTCGTTTTTTGGTATTTAACAGGGTTCTTGTAGGGGTTGAAATTTGTGAAATTGATGGTTGTAGGGGGTGAGGGAGGGTATATGAAATGTTATATTAGTTGATATATTCATAAGCACCCAACGCCAGTAATTCTATGCACCTATGAGCCATATTTCATACATTTAGATTTACCCATACATTTGCCTTGGAAATGATAGAGAAATGTTTTCAATCCGCGTACTCTTGCCTATCTAAGCCCTAACATATACACGGACCTTGCACGGATAACTCGCTGCAGCTATGCCGCGGAGATGTGAAAAAGGACAACGTTGCCAAATGAATGATAACTATCCGTAGGGCAGGGGAGAAATGTCTATGGATTAAATGACGGGCCAGTTTGACTGGCTTTATGCGTCCAATTTCTCTGTTGTACCTGATGGAAGCTATTCAGCAACAGAATTTTGACAAGCAAGCGTTGCGCTGCTACGTTGTTTGCAAATTTGCTACATTAGGAGACAATTATCTTGTGTTGACGGCACTATTGCTAGATGATACTAATGCTCTCACATGGTTTACTTCTATTGTAATTCTTTTCAATGGCAACGTATTTTTAGATAAAAGCCTGATAATAAATAACAATAAATCATTTCCCGTAGAAGTAATATTTGTCGCGTCGCGCTGCTAGGGGAATGCCAACGTGATACTAGCTAGTAGCTAATTTAGGTTACGTGCTATATTACTATGTCTTTTTTGGATTGCTTTTTCCCTGCACCATCAACAAATAGTTCAAGCAGAATTTCCTTAGTGTTTTCAGGCAGCTCCTTCGTCGATGTATCGATCTCGTTTAACAACAAATTCATACATCGGGTACAGCTATCTTCAAACCGACTCGACTGTATCCGATATTAAAAATAATATGGTCGAATCAGGTCAAAGCTGAATTGGGTCGCCGGACCCAGATACAACCTTGAATTCAATTTTTTATCCATATCACGCGCAGTGCATTTTACCTTGCGTAAAATGGTAGCACGTGATTGATGTATGGTGCAATTCCCGCCCGCATCTTGTGTTTGGATATGTGTTTTTTATTGAAATATTATACGTAGATGACTGTGCATGAAAACGAATGTTCAAATTGACGGCTCCGAGATAACGCTATTATACATGGTGTCACAATCAAGCAATCTTCAAAAGCCCATTATGGACTAGGTACTGGTCTTCTGGAAAGACTAGAAATTCATAATTCATTTACTTGGATCCTGATGGCATTCTGGCGTTACCACGGCAATTACTGTTTGCTTATAAATTAGGCTCTTTGTTGACAGTGAAATGATAGCGAACATAGTATCGCAGATTGTTGAAACAGCAACTATAGTCACATACAAGTTAAAAAAATGTTGCAGGACTTCTGTATCGAGCAATAATTATAATTCTAGTTATGGCCATGGGCTATCTCTTAGCTAGAAACACCAAAGCATATTTCTCGCAAAAAATCCCCCAACTGACTGTCAATAATCAGCATGGGGAGGATGTCTTAGGCAACGGTGTTACCGATAAGCAGAGTAATTTGTGTGATTTGGCAAAACGGGGGATAGGAGTTGAGATACAGATCGAATCTTGCCACTTGCCCATACTACCTATAATTGATCTGCTGAGTAGTTCTGGTGGTAACATACTGAGGTGCTTTCCAGTGCTTTTAAATTGAGAGTTTGTATGCACCCGGGGTGTGACACTACCGAACTACTCTAGCAAATGGGCACGGGAACGCGACGATAAACACCTAACATGTTTGTTGATGTTTTGATTTGACGTTGACAATTTGTATCACACTGCTAAACAATGAAAATGTAAACACATTTTGGCTTTTTATTTTCAGAAGATTGTCATTGATGTTTGATGATGACGCAATACGTCAGAGGTCTGCATTTTTATTGCAAAGCTTTTGGATAGATGGGTCGAATTCATATTTTAGTGTTCAAAATTAATTTAAGTGTATAGCTATAGATGAAAGCCAACTACAAGCCGCTATGAACCTGCATTCTGATACTGTCTTGTGATCTTTATTATTCAGAAACATCTCAAACGTACGTTGTGACTCTGGCTCATAACATGATCAGTTTTTTAACATCCTCCATAGGTATGGTATCGGTCTATTTAGATTTTAATGCAAAAAAAACAAAAGTAATGAAAAAATATAACCTAATTACCTTGACACATTATCATTTTCGTTATCCCCACTGTTTCGGAGCGTATAACACCGAATAAAAAGCTGGTGCATGAGGGGGCAGGGAATTTCAAAAATGAGTAGCTCAGGTGCATGACACTCTAGAGCACTGGGACGGTATTGACAGATGGTGGGTAGCTCCGAGTTACTCCGAGTAACCCAAAAGACGCACTGGAAAACACCTCTGTATGATATTTGGAGGGTCATTTTATATTCGCTGACACTAACTCAATATATCCATAATATAGAATGAATCATTTTAAAATAAAAAAAGTAAATATAACGCAATGGGTGGAAATTCATTTGGATATTCGTCAAATTAGTTATCATACATACTTACTGCTACACCAATCTCATTATGAATGCCACTACTTTATGTCAGTGATACATTTTTTGTGTACAGGGCAATCTTATTCCCAATTACGTCTTGTTACAGCTTTACTTGATAGCAGATTCGGTGTTTTTCTTCTGGCGTGAATGTTTGTTCGACACCTCGCTGGCGAGTGACTCCGCCGCAAGCCTCAGAGAAGGTCTTTTTCTTTTATTCAGCCTCCTTCATTCTTCAGGAAGGCTTTTCAAGGTTCTCCGTCGGCTAATGAATTAGCGTTTTTCAAGCAAATTTCAGAGGCAAGAGCGAGGCAGAGCGAGCGACGGACGGGACGGGGCCTTTTCAGTGATTAATGAATTTTTACTCTGGCTGGCCGATGGTGAGGCCATAAAAAATGGATTCGGAAAATTCGTGAAAAGACCGACATTGGGGGCGCGGGCGATGAGATGGCGTAAATATTTGTTGGCTCTGGTGCAGATATTAAATGACGGGGGGAATTTTTGTGGCGCGAAGAAGGAAAAGTAGAGCTAGCAGAATAGGCAGCACGATCTAGGTCAATTAGGTGTTCCCTTTTCTGGTTACGAGTATCTGCTGACATTGAGGTCGAGGGCTCATGGAACACACGTAGAAAGGAACAAGAAAGATACTTGCGAAATTACGCTTGTAAAAATCATAATAGTAAGTTGTTTTTGTATCGCAATGGATATTGCGACATCAGAAAATCTGCTTCATGTATGGACTGATGATGATTTTTCAATTCGTCTTTAACTGTGAGGATTTCTGTCATGATTTTTTCCATGAAAAACTCAATTTATTCCCAAGGGATATTCATTTAGAGCAGTTCGGGAGCATGGCATTTCGAAAGAATACAACTTTCGAATGAAAAGTGTTGGAAGGTAAGTCTGTGTACTGCCTGTTGACTCTCTTACGACGTCCCTAATTTCTGATTCTTGATCTCAAAACATGATTGTTCTTGATCCTCCATGCTTGTCTGGTTCAGGTCTTTACTGTAGTAAACGTTGCAATCACGAAGGTATTGTTCTTCAGTACAAATTCAATATTTTTATTTGTGATTGACACGCTCAACTGCCGTAAAGAATATCTGTCAATACATGTGGTTTCATTGGCGAGGCAAGCATGGGGGATTATCGACATGTAAATCATAGAATACGTTTCAGATGTTTTATTGTTCTTGTATCGATCTTCTGTCTATAACGAAGGATAGAGGCTAGTAAGCCGCTGGCATCGTTATCAAAAGTGCACACTTCAAAGTTCAGTTCGAAGCTTAGACGCCCGCTCCTTTTGTAACCACTGCCCGCTTTTTGCGGTAACCTCAAAGAATAACGATTATTGAGGATTGTAATCAATCAACCGAAGAATTTCAGTCTACAAAAAGGTGATAGCCGCCCACAGATTGACTAGATGGGCTACATAAGGAATAAAATGCCTGATTTTTACTCTAAAAGACAAACACCATTTGCAGTTTATTTGAGTACATAATACAATCTTCATCACATTATCTTACATAAACATTATTATATGCAAAAAAATCTGCAGTCTAAATATAGCCTAATTACGGATATGCATATGAGATATTCTAGAAATATCCCTGCTTTATCGGTATCTGGCTGTTGTTGGCTAACGGCGAACAGTAAATTTTACACAAAACCACCGCGTTGTTCGAACAAGTGATATCTCCGTTTGCACATGCCAACCAGTGATGAACTGTATGGCAATTTTGCAAGGGATTTTGCCTCTCCATCTACCAAAAATAGTATAATTGTTATGATCGAAGATGAAGTAATTCTCAGCGTGTGAACGATCAATAAACGGCAAAGCGTGAATAACTCAACTAACCGTAACATCGCTTTTTGTGCGTCAATTACTTAATAAACAGGAGCTCCATAATTATTTATCTGATTGAAGTACTCAATAAAATATTCCAATTTCTTGGTTGACAGATTCCAAGTGCGGCTTTTACTTCCCACACTTACCGGCAGAGGAAGTATTGCATCGCAATAGGTACATCTATTTCGAGATAGGTTTTTTGGATGTTATGTCATTTATCTCACGAAAAACAATAAGCAATTTTGAGCGATGAACAGTGATAAACCGCGGTTATTCCTTGGTTGTGCCCTTGATTATTCTGTAATTTGCCCTCCTGACACGAACAGGGAGCTGAGAACAGAGTTGCTACACGCAACTGTTTTGTAGTCCATTGTCAACGATTATAAGTATAATTCAAATATAAGTAAAGTAAATACTTTACTGTGATATTAACAACACACCTAAGAAACAATGCATGACTCATTAGTTCTACGACTATTGTTTTTTTCCACTGATAACTTTTTACGGAAAATTATCCATCACAGACCACACAAAACAAACACAAATGGCACAAAAGAGTAGGAAAGGGTTATATTATAGTCATGGGTTGACATTTGACATTCAGACCCACTTAGAAATCACCATCTGTGCAAGGTTGTTAAAGTCAGTAACAGAGACGTTACGAACGGGCAGTTAGTGACGTCATAATTTGACAGTAGTTGCAAACCGCGTCGCTTAAAGAGAAAAGTTAAAACCGGATACCACCGGTTATGATTGGTAGATCGCTTTATAGCCTATTTCACTAGTATCCATGATGCTTTGACGTCTACTGAGGTGAACAGCTGATCAGCAAGTGACATTTTTGTGTTAGAATGCTACGTTGGCAATAATGAATCGGGTGTACATCCAGTAAAACTTGTTTGTAGCGTTTTATTTTTTGTATGCAAATGAACTTTTCTAAATAAAAGAGCTGCTAGAAAGTACAAAATGAATAAGTAGCTTACAAAAAAAAAACAAAATACGGCCCTGATTACCTGACGTTGAGTCCTGTGGCGATATGGGGAATTTTGAGATATTTCTACATGCGATAACTACAATTCCACGGACGAAAAAGCTTTATAGTTTTTGAAAATCGGTCCAGTGGCGGTGGCGTGGAAGGTAAAAAGAATAAAAATCGCTCAAACCTCTTTTTGTACGGTTCAGAGGCTCTTGATCATTTTTCCCTTCTTTACTATTTTTTTTTTCAATTTATTTTCACGATCCAGGTCCCTGGGCAATTGCTCCACTTTTCGCCCTCTTTCGCTGGCCCCGAAATCCATTTTACTTCCCACGCCACTTCACTTTTTTCCGTTATTAACGACTTGAGCCTCACCATAAGAATGGATGAGTTTCCTCCACGATTGCGTGACGTAAGCTAAGAGGTCCCCTGTGGTTCGCTGGTTCTGGAAACCATACTGCCTGTGGCTAATCAAGCCGTGATGTTCCAGGTAGTCCAGAAGCTCGCGATTTATGCCCCTCGCCGTCACCTTATTTATAACAGAAAGCAGAGCTATAGGCCTGTTGTTGTAAGGGTCTGTCTTAGATCCTTTTTTTTGGGATGTGTTGGACTTGAGCAAATTTCGTGTTTTCTGGGAAGGTGCCGGATTCGTAAGATATCTGGAAGAGATACCAAAGAACTGGAGCAAGCTCTACTGGACACCTCTTGAATACAACAGCAAAATTCAAGGCCGGACCAGGAGCTTTGCTGATGTCGAGCGACAAGAGCATCTGTCTCACGGTCTTATGTCTGAATGCTACTTCCCCTTTGAATCGACGTCACTTGGGCATTGGGAGGACGTTACGTACATGGTGAAGTTAACAGCAAATATCTTGGCAACCACTTTGGCCTTAGCCTTTGAGTTGGTTACAATCGTTCCATCCTGACACGTAAGTGGTGGAAGGCTACTCTGTAAGAAGTTCCTTTTAATCTGCTTGGCCAGTGTCCAGAAAAAACGACTGCGTTGAGACATTGCCCCGTGCCTAACTTTTATATCGTGCTGGTTTCTGCTTCGTTATATTTGTTTATACACCTAGGTTCGACGTTGGCTTGTCGGTTCTCTACAGTGAGGCTTTGTAAGAATTTTCTGTGTGTCTTGATCTTCTGCTGGCGGGAAGTGTCGCACGATTTGTTGAACCAGCTGTTGGACACTGGTTTAGGCACTTTTAGTGTATGAGGGATGTATTCCTCCAACCCAATGTGGATAATTTCGTTTAACGATGAACAGACAGCCGACGCATCCGCGTCAGCTAAACAAACACCTCTTCAAGGAAAGTTGGAGAAGTCTCTGTTTCTGCTGTCACAGCGGATTCAGACCGAAACCTGACTTCCACAACACTGTGGCCTGAGTTATCCAGGGGAGACAGGACAGCAGTGCTGTAAAGGATAGGATGCGTGTTCAGAAAGAGATCTAGCAGGCTACTGGCATGTAACGAAATGGGGGGGAAAAAAGTAGGGCTCGTCACCAGCATAATGTTGCTGTTAGTCCCGTAGATGTTCGTGAAATAAACGTTATCATCGATGCTGTTCTCTCGAGTCCACCCTCCTCTCGGACATTCCGAGTACTCGAGGATCCAACATCATTAATTTCTTTGTTGGGTGAGATAAGCGACTGCGTAACTTAAGTGTACAAACATGTGGACATTTATAAGACACCCTAGGACAAGCGAGCGGGTGGTACCACCTCGGGCGACTGACCCGTGTCTATCACCTTCTTTCTGCGTGGTAACAATGAAATAGACCTAAGGTGACTCAAAATGGACGAGAGCTCGCTACAGCGAAGACGCGCTAGGCGCTGCCGCGCACATGTGGAAAGGGACATCGTCACCAGATTGACAGCAACTATCGGTAGGGCAAGTGAACGAGTATCTATATGGACTAATTGGTGTATGGGTGTGTTGGACTGACTTAACCCGTTTATTTTCTCTGTTGCGTTGCTTAGGAAGTGCTAAGTCAACCTACTTGATACCATTTTTTAGTTACCACGTCTGACCTGAAACAAACCAACTCTCTTGAAATTCGTCATTGACAAGAAAACTTTGCTACTTCTTGCCAAATACACTGAGAATCAAAGCCTGACGGCTTGAATTGAATGTGTACGAGAGAGATGTGTGTATATACATGTATGTTAGAAAGAGTTAGAAGCCGGCTGGATAGCGAAGCTAATCATCGCATCGCCTAGCAACGCTGACGCGGCATTCTGCCGTGTTGCCAATACCAGTTCCTTCAATTAAGATACATGTTGAAAATATGCGTTAGTTTATTCTCTACGCTCAAATAATGGTGTTATTTTGAGCGTACATATTTTTGAATTGTGATTTGTATAGAACCTGTTTAGGAAGGATTGTTTCTGGATAGGTCCTAACTGCGCTCCATGTTAGGTCAAAATGAAAGGTCAGGATCGACACAAACCGCATCTTGTACATTCCAAGGCAAGGTGTCCACCTCCATGATCATAGTTCAGCGTTCAGCGAGTTTGGTCAGTACCCATCTAGCGCTTATATGGGAGTGTCGTTCTGCTTTGAAATGGCTTTCAACTGCATACACGCAGGCAGTAATAATTTGTATTGCGTACGAGCCGTTTTACACACAAGAGAATTACTCCGAAAATTATGGTCATAATTATGCCGAAAATTTGCATGGAAAAAATATGAAGATTTTCTCTACAACCTGTATGGCACAAGCAGACAAAATTTCCGAGTAATTCATATGATACGCCTGCGCATTAGAGTAATATTTTCGAATGGACATAACCTTAACGGGTATGACGTCCAATATAATCGGAAAGACAACAGACGTCGTTGATTTGAATTTATTTTTGAAATCGAGATCTTGGTTAATATTATAAAACTTCTCAATGCTTGGACTATCGCATCCAGCGCCTGACGCCGCAAATTTCTGTTTTTGTAATTGGGTGACTTCACCTTGAACAGGTTTTCCCATTTTTGGTACTCCTACAACAACAGTGTAACTTCTTCCTGATTCCACGACATTATGAATAAACAATAACAATAAACGCTTCTTCGTAGTACGACTCGAACAGGACCATACCCACAAATGTTAAGTGGGGTTATGTTGTTATGTTGACGTTGACATTTGATAATGACATGCACGGAAATAATCCTCTGCGCCGATTCTCGTGCATATTCTATAGAACGGGTTTTATATTTTTACCATGAAAATTTTCACAAGAATTCTTTTAGATGTAATACGACAGCAAAAATTTTCGGCATAATTATAACCATAATTTTCGGAGTAATTCTCTTGTGTGTAAAACGGCTCTACCGCAGCGCTGTCGCAAAATGTAACAATAACTCCGGATGTGTTGATTTCAAATCAAAGATAATTCTAACAGAAATTAAAACCTAAGTTGCATCAAAAAATAAATAAATAATTCTAATCAAAATGAAAACGAAATATTAAAGTAAATGCTCGAACAAACCTCCTTCTTGAGTTTGACAGAAACCTAACTTATTCTAGAAGCCTGTGCGAACCTTTCCTGGTGTATCATGTTGGCAAAGCGGCAGATTGAACGGCTTTCTGCGTCACCACGTTGCTAGGTAATGTGGTGATGACCTTTGCTCTTCAGCCGGCATCTGTCTCTTTCTAGTATGTGTTGATATACACTGCTGACGCTTCTCTCTCGTACCCATTAAACTCAAGCCGTCAGATAAATTTGGTTTTCCCTATATATCTGTTTCAGACGTCTCTATTGATAAATTGATATGCAGTATTCTATTTTTTCAAACGATATGGAGAATGAAATCAAAATCTTTATGGGAAAGCTGCAATACTTTTTGTGCTTTACCCCTCCCGAAATAGAAAGGCGCTTATGCACTTTTCAAATCCATGTAGAATGCAGTTTGTATTATGGAGGATTACAAACATGTTTACAAACATGTAAATAGTGCTTGGCACGATTTACAACTGATATCACGTCCCACATTCACTGCTAGTGCTCGCTATCATAATTTATGCTTATCGGGGGAGTCGATTTGATTTGCTGCTTCCACCGTATATCTAGCAATGAGGAAACGAAAAGTTTATATTTGAATGTTTGCTTCCAAAGTCGTTGAACCTTAAGGCATTTCTATGACCGTGTTTGAAACAGGCCTTGTTGTTATATATACAATTTATATTATTCATTATTACAGTTCTAAACAGATAAATCAAATCAATTCCACAGAAATACAAAAAAATGGCATCAAGTAGGTTGACTCTAAACCTCCAAGGTTCATAAAGAAGTTGAGCACACCCTCTGAGAAAACTTTGTTTACACCAAAGCTGCCGTGCAGGCAGAAGCCTGAATGTCAGGCTATGAGGATCCCAAAGAAATGTTTTTAATCCGATTTTTGAACTGCCTAAGGATAGTAGAACTGGTAAGTTCAACACCGTTAGGATGGGAGGCCGAAGTCAGGCGGGTCTGCCTGGTAGGCACATCGCACGGCGGCATCAGGGAGGAGAGCTTTGAGGATCAAAGCCCGTTGGTTTAGCGGTAGAAGAGAGCTAGATTGCCTAACGGCCCACCGGTATGAAAGGGTCCCAAGACAGTCTGTTAGAGAAGAGTCAACGATCAGTCGGACAGCCCTCCTCTGGACAGCATCGAGCATAAATAACGTAGTCGGGCGGCAGCACCTCAAACGTAAAAGCATTACTCAAGGCTATGTCTTATCTGCCGCTATTGAAGATATGTGTTCGTGTCAGATTAAGTCCTCCGTGATCTGATCTCCCACCAGCCGAAGTGAACGGTTCTTTGGCAGAACTCGGCCATCCATCGAAACCGGCTGAGCTCTAGGTCATTTCTTGTTCGTCAAGGTACAGTACTGTGTTTTGGAAGCATTAAACTGTACAAGATTTGCTGTGTTCCCAAGCAGTGATAACCTCCATGTCTCCGCGTCAGAGAGTAAGTCGCATCTAGTCTTCTTTTTACAGCTCGCCGGCAGAGATCGGCCTGTCGTTCTGAATTTATGCATGAAGAGTGATGTCATCAGCTATGGATTGGATTGATCATACAGTAAAAGATTTGTATGAGGAACAGTGTCGGAGCCAAGACAGATCCCTGAAAACACCCGCGCACGATTTGTTGCACCAGCCGGTGGACCCTGGTTTAGGCACTTCCACTATATGAGGGATGTAGTCCGCCATCCCAGCGTCGATAATTTCTGTTATCGATGAACAGACAACCGACGCACCCATATCTCTATAAGGAAAGGTGGAGAAGAAGTCTCTGAGCCCCTGCCAGTCGGCATGTCCGTAATGCCAAATTTTTCGGCCTGGTCGAGGGAGGAAAAAGTGGGCCTCGTCACCAGCTGAGTCAGTCCTTGGGTAATAGTGAATGCTTCAACTGCACGACATGCCGCATCGGACCCAACCAAAGCTCACTATGGCTATTGAAATCACGTAGCGGGGTGATTGATGTTCAGGTAGTCGATCTTGTCAGCGAGGTATTCAAGTAGAAGTAGTTACGAATATGTACATACAATAGAAAAACTAAACCTATCGAGTTAGGCGCATAGAATTATTGTTAAATTAAAATTGAGATATGCCCTCCCTGCCCCTTAAGTTTTCACCCTTAAAGATTTTTTCAAAAATGATCAGGATGCTCTTAAACGCCAAAAAATTAAGTTTTATTTTTTCATTTTGGGTGTGCTATGACAATAAATAAAATTTACACATAATAATTGCCACGTACGTTCTCGAGACACGTCTCTGCTTTTGTTTCCTGGATTCATCGGCGGGCGTACCGGTCCCTATGAATCTCCTATTACTGCCGCAGTGCCGTGTGGTCGCGTTGCTAGATGGACGGTACTACCAGTAGGCGTTGGAAAGAATGTTTGTGGACTAATTGTATGGCTGTCTTGAAGCCTCGATCCATTTAATTTCTCTGTTGTATATATTTGTAACTAACTTTTTTCTAAGAGGGTCTAACTTGTACTGAACATAACCATTTATGAATTGATGACGGCGTTGCGTGGAAAGTGCAGAGTAAATCTACTTGACGCCATTTTTATAGTTTCAAAATAGCAATAATTATGTTCTTGCATAATACGCAAAGGAAAAAACCTTCTGGCCAGATAGTATGATAACATTCAGCAGTTCTGCCAACTTTTGTTCTGACGGTACAGCCAACTTGAAGAAATAAAATGGCCATCGGCCAAGATTCCGCTCTAAAAACATCGTCCTTTCCGCTGCGGGGTTGTAACTGTATATAAACATTATCTGTAAGTAGTGTGTGCAGGCTGAAACAAACAGAATAGACACACTCTTGACCTAGTATCAAAGAATCACAATAAAACACCAGAAATACGCATGGTTTTTTTTAATCCTACAATGTCTCATACATTTGTATAGAGTAGATACATATCTCTATAGTCAATAAAATCGGTCTACAATTCAGATTTACCCTCACTTTTCCATCAGAACTTAGATTCAACGTTCTTAAACGCATTTTCAAAATTCTGGGAGGCATAGGTTTTTTATAGGTATATTTCCTTCTTTATAGGTTTTTTTGTGACATAACGTAGGTGTTCTACAAGATGTCAACTTAGGACTCTTATACACTTGTCGTGAACTTATTTTGTAGTTGTAAGTGTTGTCTACACGTCATGGTGCTTCAGCTATCAATGTTTGACTCTTATATGATGTAATATTTACTTCAGAGATGGCATTATTTGAGGTCTAAGCGTTGTATACTATAGCTGGAAGGAAACAACAGTTTATAGGTGCATAGTGAGGATTTGTGTGCTAAATCTGAATTGATGTTAATTCCATTGGTTTCTTGTCGCAAATATACAGGATGCGGCAGAGAGGACGGACGTTCTTGGGATGGGTAGTACTCTCCGCCTCCGTCTACGAGAGAGGTGGGAGGGTGCCGTTTGACTCGTGAGATCCTAGCATTATTTTACCAGTTGTCGTTATGGAGCCTTGGACGGTGGAGCACCGCGTTTTCGCCTATGAGTGACGAAGCCCACTTTCACCTAAACAGCATAGTTAACCAGCAGAATTGTCGTTATTGGGCTAATGAAAATCCGACGTGTGTGGTTCCAGCAGGATGGGGCGACCGCCCACACAGCCCAAGCATCCATGGACGTTATTCGCCCACTCATCCCTGGTCGCCTTATTTCCAGGTTTGGCGATGTTCATTGGCCTCCTCGGTCCCCAGATTTATCCATATGCGATTTTTTCTTATGGGGACACCTCAAGGCTAGAGTATACGCGAACAAGCACCGCACTCTGGACGAATTGAAGGGCGAAATTCGTGTGGAAGTCGCCCAAGTTGAGAGAGCGATGTTGGAGAGAGTCTACGCGAACTTCCAAGAACGCCTCCAGCACTGCATCAACGATTTCGGCCACCACATGCCTGATGTGATTTTCCACACTTGACTGTCTCAAATGCTATTTCCTATTTTGATTTTTTTAAAACTGTCCATCCTCTCTGCCGCACCCTGTACTTAGATGAGAGGAATTCAAAGCTAAAAATTAGTTGCGCATTCACTTTTCCTTATTCATTCTGGAAATTACAGATGCAAATATGCTGTGCTTTTTACGTGTGGTCTCATTTTGTAGTTCTCATAAATACCTAAAAATCTTATTTGAAAAGTTTTTTCGTTCCTGTCAACACTTTCTATTGAATCCCAAAAAAAGCTCTCATTCTTTGTTGTCAAATAAAAGGTTTTATAACAAAAATCGGTGTACCCATTTTATGCGCCCATGTTTTAAATACCCCCTTGAACAACTTGCACCAATAAAACTAGACTTTACAATTATTTCGGGGAAATTGGCTAATATGATTAGACTATGAACTAAATCGTGTAATATCCCGTGTAGGACCCTAAAAGTTAATCACCTACGGGACAACTTATAGGTTTACACCTTTAGCAAGTTTTAACATTATAAAAAAGAAACATAAGTTATTCATCATAAAACCTGTAAGTTGTCTTCCGGCTAATTAGCTTTTAGGGATTTAGCTTGAAATTTCTTGCTCAATATCCTGCGATCCACCTCAACGTACAAGGGATGTCTTTTAAGTTTTGCATATGGAATTAAAACAACGCGGTAGGTAGTTTTAAATGACTTTATTGTCTTTCGAAGTATTCTTCACGAAGATTAATACACATCTGCATGCGCTCGAACCAATTTTCGAAGCACTTATTCCACTCGTTTGCTGGCAGATCCAAAACGGCATTTTTGAATGCGTCAACTGCTTCTTCTGGTGACTGGAACCTTTGACCACGCAGTCTGTCTTTAATTTTCGGGAAAGTAAAGAAATCGTTAGGACTTAGATCGGGACTATATGGAGGATGGTCCAATAATTCCACGTTTTCTTCCGTTAAATACTGCCTTGTTTTTTGGGATGTGTGCGAGCTTGCATTGTCCTGGTGGAGGATGATTCTTCTTTCGGGGTTGATTTTTCGAAGCTCGGTGTTGACTTTTGGCAAACAAATGTTGGTATACCAATCCGCATTAACAGTTCTTTGCTCATTAAGAGGAATTGTTGCAATATGACCCGCTTTTGACACAAATGTTGCGACCACCTTTTTCGAAACACTTCGAGAACGGATGACTTTTGTTGGCTTTTCTTCACCTTGGAATACCCAAACAGCCGACTGTTTATTTTCTGGTTCATAACAGTAAACCCACGGGAGTTTCTGGAATTGAAACGGTCAACCGTTTTTTGACACCAATTAACCCTGGCTGCTATCTGCTCTTCAGTCAACAGGTGGGGTATCCAACGAGAAACTAATTTTCTTACTCCTAATTCTTCATGTAAAATTTTTACGCCTCAATCTCGCGATATGTCACATGTCTATCTTCAATGATGAGTTTGCGCACAGCATCGACGTTTTCCTGGGTGACTGCAGTTTTTGGTGCACCCACCCTGGGATCGTCGAAGACTCACCCGTCCACGTTTGAATTCTCCATACCAACGGGACATTGTCGACTGATGTGGTGCTTCGTTGCCGAAAACAGACAGTAACTCAGCAAAGCCTTCTTGTTGCGATAATTGTCTCTGAAAGTTGTAATAAATTATGGCGCGAAAATGTTATCGGTTGAGTTCCATTTTTCTAATGACTTGGTCACACTTAAAAATTCACTGTAGTGAGAGTACTGCACCTATCGCTGTGAAACTTTGAATTTAAATTTACTAAAGCCAACTATTTTTCTATATGCAAAACTTAAAAGACATCCCTAGTATTTTTATCCTTAACCACAGACTCAACGTCAGGCAACCAGTGTTACATCACAATATAAAACGAAATTTGATTTCTCAGTGATTCTGTGTGGTAAGAACTAAATAAATAAACTTCAAAACATACAAGTTTAATATTAACATATACCTAGGTTGTAGAGTTTCTATGTTCAAATAAATCTGATTGAAATTATCAATGATAAAGTAGCAAAGGGTAGATGAAACTAGCTGCTGAATTTGTTAAAACCTTGTTGGCAACATTTACATTTACTATGGAGCATATCCATGATATTATAACTCGAGAAGATATGCTTCGCCATCGAACTTCGTACGCCTTTGAGCATGACGTCACTCGGTGACAAATGCTCCGCTTGCCGGGGCGAAATGCATCATTGCATTAGCGCGTTTTCTTTTCAATATTTCGTATATTTGCTTGTAATTTTTTTGTGGTATCAATTTTAGATGGCAATGTTAGTATTACATAGAATATTTTATTTGTATTTTGATATTTTGCCAGTATATACTTACAGACAGAATACACATAGCTTATCACTTTTGAAAAATTAACAATAAGTTGAAAAGTTCTAAATCACTAAATAACTTAAGACGTAATCATTGACAAAGCGCCTATAGCTGTTCAAACTAAAATTTCAAGCACCAAATAAAGGGCCTTACTTTTTTATTGAAATAAATTGGTTTCAAATAATACCTTTGTGCATGAGTAACAAACAGACAAATCTTATGTACTACTCACGTTGCAATGTGTACGAGAGAGAAGCGCCAGAAGTGTGTATAGGCACATATGTTAGAAAGAGATAGAGGCCGGCTGGATTGCAAAGCGTTGCCAATATGTTACACCAGTTCCTTGAATTAATATGCATATTGAAAATATGCGTTAGTTTATCCTTTACGCTCAAATAATGGTTTTATTTTGAGCGTATACTTTTTTGAATTGTGTCGAATCTGTTTACGATTGATTCCCGAACGGCACGAGTATTATGTATCTTAAAAAGTGACATTTCGTAGGTTTTTTCTCACATAACGTACGGTTTTCTAAAAGATGTTAACACAAGCTGTTGTACCCTCGTTTTGTAGCTGTACCTGTTGCTTAAACGTCAGCGAACAGAGATCATAGCGAGCAAACCTAGAATGAACTATTACAAACTAAAACTACCTAGTCTGCAAGATGACATTCCGTCAGTTGTTTTATGTTTTTTATATTTTTTACATAATACCCCTGCAGGCCTAACAATGCTTCATTTTAGGTCGAAATGAAAGGTCAGAATCGCCAGAAATTCTGCAACATTGCATCATTGCTTCGCTTACCAACACCGTCTTCCAAGGCAAGGTTTCCGCCTCCATAAGGGGCCTACAGACACACGAACATGTATTAAGACATGAACGCACGGCGATGTTTGCGCAGTGATACCCGTCGATCTACTTTTAGCTCCACACATAGAGACTTGTGTGTCAGTTTTCTCCACGTCGATGTTGTAGTTTGTCGCCATGTCTAGCGATGATGAGTTAAACTTACTAACAGTGGCGTGCGTTTGTATTGTGAAAAAAAGAAAACATCAATTGAAAAAGAGACGTCAGCCACGAAGAAAATGGGTTAAAGATTGACTTTTGAAGCGGGATCAATATTCTCACATCAATTTACTTGAAGAGCTACGATTAGAACCTGATGATTGGCGAAACTACCTCCGGATGGATGAAGATAGTTATATAAAACTCCTAGAGATGGTTTCGCCACTTATTGAAAAACAGAACACACCGATGAGACCCGCTATATCGGTACATGAAAGACTGTCGGCCACATTGAGGTATTTGGCCACTGGGAGGAATTATGAAGATTTAAAATTTTCTACCCTGATTTCTCCACAGTCATTGTGCAACATAATTCCAGAGACATGCAGCGCTATTTATGAAGTACTGAAGAAAGACTATATGAAGGTGGGTACAGAGTATATTACTTAGTAGTAAAATAAACAAAATAAACACAAACACAAACTCTCAAGTATTCTATTTTTATACATACAACGCTAATCTAATGGAACTCTTATATGTAAATATAAACTGGACCTTAAATGTTAGCTTCACTTAGAGGATTATACGATCCAAAATAAGTTGAAACTGTGGAGCTACCCTCGTTGATTTGTTGAGGATGGCTTTGATGGCACTGGGGCTTAAGTGGCATAGCTGGTAGCAAATAAGTTTGAGCTTGATTTTGTGTGCCTGATATATTTATAGGTTGAGTTGAATTGTAGTTATATTGATTAGGGTAGCAAGCATCAACAACGCTATTACTGGAAAAATTGTTTTGATTCTGTTCATTGTCTCCTGACGAAACAATCCTAGTATTTCTGGACACGTTACCCATTTCAGCCTCAAACAGCAGATCATTTATGAGTTTCTCAGTGTATAATCTGGTTTCTTTTGGGAGTCCTTTCAATTTTGCTGCGACATTTTCCCCAAAAATGGCGAATTGATCGTCATTCTTGGAACGTAATCTTTCTCCTACCGCCGCCAACACGTTGTCTGCTTCTTGGTTATCAGAGTTTGTCTTGCGTTTATTTTTTTCCCCGATTTCCAGCTGCAGGCAGCGGTACAATGTTTTCTGGATATTGGTGGACTTGGTACTGAGCTCAGCTCACTCTCTTGACTTTCATTTACATCATATCTAGTTTTATGCAAAAAATATATATTTTTGATTTTTTTCAATTCCCAACGACCGAGAATGAATGGAGAAACATTGCAGACGACTTCGAAAAGAGATGCAACTGTCCGAACTGCCTGGGGGCGGTAGATGGAAAACATGTCAATATAAAACCGCCCACCGAAAGTGGTTCATATTTTTATAACTATAAAGGAGCATACAGCCTAGTGCTCTTGGCAGTGGTCAACGCAAATTACGAGTTCATTATGTGTGATTTCGGGATCAACAGCCGCATATCTGATGGAGGAGTTATTGAGTACAACCAGTTTTACCGGAAGCTTAAAGATAGGAAACTCTCCATACCACCTCCAACAAGAACAATGAACAGTAAAGAAGCATTGCCATTTGTTTTTATAGGTGATGAAGCGTTTGCACTCCGCTGTGATTTCTTGAAACCATTTAGCCAGAGAGACTGGGATCATGATAAGAAAATTTTCAATTATCGTCTCTCAAGGGCAAGGATGTAGAGTAGAGAATGCTTTCGGTATACTCTCTGCTCGATTTAGAATATTCCACACAGCTATATCTATTAACTTAAAAGCAATTGACAAAGTAGTGATGGCATGTTGTGTTCTGCATAATTTTCTGAGAAGAAGAACTGCCACTGTGTATGCACCTGATAACAACTTATACAGGGAGAACCATGAAGATGGCACTGTTGAATTAGGCTTGCAACCAAATCAGATGACTAGTTTGCAACCGGGTTACAATAGAAGAGCAAACAAGGATGCACAAGAAGTTAGACAGTTATTTCTGAACTACTTTAATAATGAGGGATCCGTAGCTTGGCAGGAAAGAATGATTTGCTAATTTATGTATTATACCTTCTAAGTACTTAAGTTGAAGTAAAGCGAATCAAAATATCAAGACGATTTTTTATTACCCTCTATATTAATATGTGTACTACTTCATTATTTCTTACATGAAATCAAAAAATGGCATCAAGTAGGTTGACTCCGCAATTCCCACGCATTGATTTTATCGGTTCAAGCATATCCATGTTTTTTATATATATGTGTTATATATTATATACCATCCATAAAATATAATACCTCATTTTCGAAATTATTCGCGATTTGGTTAGGTGGAAGAGCGCGGATTGACAGCTAATGGTTGTCAATCAAGCGAACCTTGCCGTTTGCTCACTGCATCAGATTTATGTACTTTTTCTTTTTCTGTACTTACATGAGCAATAAAAGCAATTTATTATTATTATTATTATTATTATTATTATTATTATTATTACAATACTTCCTCTTTTCCTCTCCAGTTGGCGTGGGAAGTAAAAGTCAAATAAATAAATCAGGCCTTACCTCCAGTTCTAGAGCGTCTTCATTTTCCATTTCTGAATGGCAACTGTCCATTTCACTGTCACATCTTCAATATTACTAATGGATTGTCTAGGGATATCCTGATCCTTTATAAATAAAAGTAGATCATAATACCATAAATGTGGTATAAACATCATCTGCTGCAGCACCCGATCTTCTCGACTCTTTAATTCTTCTTAGTTCTCTCCGAAAACTAGCTCGGAGGCTATTAATTTTAGTTTTAACCATTTCTTTGTTGTCATTTTTCTCAACTTCTTGGAGCTTCAGCACCAACACTTTATATGCTTCGTTTTTTTTTATTGCGATCCATATAGTCTTTTGATTTTACTCGCCACAAACATGGATAGGATTTGTATAGTTCTATGAACTCTGTTATAAACTCTTTGGAAAAACTTCTCAAATCTGCCATATTGACAAATTCAAAACTAAATGAACTTATGTTGACCCCCCTGCTCCTAACAACAGAATACACGAATGCAGTCGCGCCACTGAATTAAGTCTGTGAAAATTAGTACGTTTTGTCTACACACAGGCATACATACACGCGCGTACAAGTCTGTGCAGGCATAAATTCAAGCGAAAACAGAAAGCATGTGCGTCGGTCTTTTAACGAGAGATTTGTCTACACACTGGCGAACATCAACGCGCAAACGTCGACGTACGTTCATGTCTTAATACATGTTCGTGTGTCTGTAGGCCCCTTTAGATAGATGAACGATTTTGGCAATGTTGCCGTACCTACCGATTTTTTGGTATTTCTTCCGAAATGAGACCTTATTTACCGAAATATAAAAAACGTGCACATTTTCTACGATTTTCCAAAATAATTCAGTGAGTTCCAGACTTTTTATCGAAAAATAGATAAGAACCGAAAATAAAACTAAAAGATGAAATAAGTGAATGTAGTCTCTGCAGTTTTATGCTCTATACATACATAAGCGTCGGGCCTTGTACATTCCAAGATAAAGCTTCCACCTTCATGATGGTCTGGTGCTATTAGCGTTTCTTTTTTTCAAACAAGTAGTTGAACACCGGCATGCCAACCACTCTCGTTAGCGACTTCACAACAAACGCTGAATTCAATATTTTCTTTCATGGGTTCCTGAATAAAGGGTTTTTCAATGATGATGCGTTAAGGCTGATATGTAATAAAACAAGTGGTGTATGATGTATTCACGAGATTCCTTTTTATTTGAAATTCTATTGTATAGGAATTGGTATGACATATGGAATATGACTCGAATCATCTGCGCACCCTGGTTTCGGACAGTGGCACGCATTCAAGGAGTTCACATTTTAGTAGTTTTAGAAAAATTAAGAAAAGTATATTGACTATAAAGTTCTCACGCTCCGGAACGGCTTCTAGGGCAAATTTCAACGTAAGTACCTCACGAACGAAAATGAATTCTGATGTGGAATCTCGAGCCCGACAAGAATCTGCTGTCAAAATTGGTGGATACCATTTGAGTCCACAAACTTGACCTCCAAATAACATTTGAGGTCATTCTCTAGGTCATCTTTGAGGTGATCGACAAGTTGCTTTTTAGATATCCTAAGAGTTTGCTTAAAAATAATTGGTTGAAACGTTTTCGGGGTGTTCGTATACTTTTCAGACGTTACAGTAGGTCATGTTGATTGAGCCACTTATGACCGCTTGACCTCAAACATGGAAATGCATTCTTATGTAAAATTGAGAGTTTGTGATGAATGTGCTGTCAAAAATAGTGGTTACTATTTGAATTTACAAAGCTAAGCCCCCCAATGACCTCTGAGGTCAAGGACTCGCGACGGAGGCATAGGCTTTCCTACATTTGGCAATACTTGAGGTCTCTCAACGCTGTTCTATTTTGGTATTTCGTCATTCATTCAAACGCAATCATCATTGGAGGTTAACAGATTTTCACAATGAGTTTCACATATAGTCCTATCACTGAAACACAGCAGCTACGTTATATTTAATAGATTTGAATGCCAACCTTAACGCAAAATAGATCCTACATTGGTACGTATAGTTTAAATTTCCCGGGTACATTTATGTTGGTAACAGTTTTCTGTGACAAAGTCGCAAAGCTTGTTAGTAATTACGCCAACGGCTGTCTTTTATTTGTGGTTTATTGTCTAGAATCTAGGAGTTTTAAGTAAAGCTGCAACCATGTGCGTCACTGTCATTATTTGACGTTGTGACGTAACTGCTTTGATTCAGCGATACTGTAGACTCGCGAATAAAAAGTGATTCTGATGGTATGGTATAGTAAGGTAACTAGTGCAGAAGCTGTCGTTGCGCAGTTTGTCTTTACATACCCTGATCAACCTTGCCCTAGACCGACCCCGGTCAGGAGTATTTTCCTAAACTTCGTCAATCGTGGCTGCATCAACTCTTGTCGACATGAAGTATGTCAACGGGTGCATGACGAAGAAGATGGAGAAAATGCTCCAGAGAACAAGGTTGTCAGGGACGAGGCTGTTTGTGGTTATGTCGAAGTGACGCTTCAGAGAGATTAATTCCAACCTTGGTCGAGTAGTACCGTATTAGAAGTCGGTGTCCCGCAGAGGTATTAAGTAACTTGAAAAGTAACATTATGGTGTTTTTTATAACATGCAGGTTTTTCAACAAGACGTCAACCTGGAACTAGCAGCTTTCGTTCACTTCATGCTCACTTGTAGCAACCGCGAAATGATATATTTTGACACTAGCTCACTTTGTCAACAAGTTGACATTTTATCGTTTTTTTACATTATATAGTTTTTTTGCATAATAAGCCTGCCGGTCAGTCAGCCCAATCAGGCCTGTTTTGAAGAAGCATGGCTACAAGCCATTTAAGTACCAACAAACGCAGGAGATTTTTCCCGCTGATCATATCAGGAGAATGGATTTTTGTGATGCCAAGAGAGAAATCATTGACAACGATGACCGATTTCTTCCGAAACATATTGTTTTCGGACGAACCCAGTTTTTCTTTCCATATACATCATAATCGAAAAAATCTTAGGTATCTACTCGTATTGGTCAAGGGAAAACAAACATTTAAGTTCACGATTAAGGTCGCAGTATCTTCAAAAAGTTAACATTTGGGGGGGCTATTTTAGGAGACACCATTCTTGTACTTTGGTGGATATTTCATTTTTGTGGGGATATGTTAAGTCTCATATTTACGGTTACCCCCATGCAAGAACTACCAGTTTGAAGGAGTTGCGGTTGAAAATAATAGAAGCATGCCGTTCGTTATAAAATGTTCGCACAGGCTTCTAGTATAGGTTAGGTTACTGTCAAACCCAAGAAATGGGTCTTTTCGAACATTTAATTTGATATTTTGTTTTCATTTTCATTAGAATTATTTATTTCAATTTTGATGCACTTTAGTGCTTTAATATCTTTTAGAATCATTTTTGGTATCCAGGTGGAAACCTTGCCTTGGAATGTACAAGATGCGGTGCTGTCGGCAAACCAATGTTACAATGTTGCAGAATTTGTGGCGATCCTGTAATTTCACTTCAACCTAAAGTGAAGTGCAATTAGGACAGATCCAGAATCGATCCTAAACAGACTCGACACAATTCGCAATTCAAAAACGTGTGGGCTCTAAATAAAACCACTATTTGGGCGTAAACGTTATTAAATTTGTGTTGCTGACAACACTTCAAAACCCATTGTTCGCAAACTTGTTTGCTTTGGAAAATTGAAGACACGTCTTTGATTTTCTTGTTGTTATTGCTTGTACAACCCACCGCTATACCATAGCTAATGTTTAATTCACTGTTTTTTTAATTATGTTTCACACACTTAAAACTCACCATATAACAAACTAACGAAACTAAACACAAATTACGTGCTAAGGCGCCATATAAAAGTGAGCAATTGTCACCCGTTTCTGGAGAATTTTGTCACCAAGTGACGTCACTGCGTGCGAAAGAGATAGACAGATCGCATGGGCGTGAGTTTATCTTTTCGAATGATGGTACCATGGATCATAATTATTCAGTATTTAGAATCAAGTGATCATTACAGGCACCGAACAGTAATGCGTTGAAAGCCAGAGAGGCAGCGGGGACAAAGCGCGTTACGTGACGCCGCGCGGCACCGTGGATACATTTCAAGGATGATAAAACGCGGTTGCCAGTATATGTAACTCGGAACT